CTGAACGATCCACTCACGAATCTTCTGCGGTGAGAGCGTCTCAATTCGACTAGGCTGTCCAACTCCAGGACCTCCAGTAGGGTCACCCACGGCTCCACTGTCACTAAGACTCGCAGCACCCCCAGTGTCAGCACCCCCATTCTCAGCACCTCCAGAACCCGCACCACCTGTCTCAGCACCCCCAGAACCCGCACCACCAGTGTCACCACCCGCAGCAGCACCAGAGTCCACAGCAGCAGGCTACGGAGGCGGCGAAGACGACCGAGGCGGAAAACGAGGGGGGGTCTCCAAGCGAGGAGAGCGGCGAGTGGCGGCTGTGTCATCAGCGGCAGGGTCACCCCCCTCATCCGGGACAGAGGAGTCGGAAGAGATCTCCAAAGGCTCAACCAAGGGGAGTGGGTCTATTTGAGACACGCCTGAGGGAGCAGGACCGTGTGGGGGGAGGGGGTCTACCAGGGGGGGGAGCTTTACCAGGAAGAGAGGCGCCAGGGGGACTGGGTGGGACGCATGTGGGTGGAGCCTGTAGAAACAGACAGACTCGTCAAAGGTGATGTCCTGGGAGGAGAAAACGCGACGCGAGCGAGGCTAGTAAAACTGCCACGGCGGGTCGTCGGTGGGGAAGCCAAGGAAGGCACAGCGGAGAGTGCGAGGAGAGAGCTTGCTCGCGGTGGTATCGCGAACAAGGGAGAGCGCACCCCAGACCCAAAACGCCGACGCATCGCCAACCTCTCCCGTCCAACGGAGTATGGGCGAGGTCTCTGGCAAAGAGACACTGGGCCAGAGGTTGAGCTGATGTGCGGCGTATCGGACCGCAAACGACCACAGAAAATGGGGAGCAACCGCATGTATGATGGAGGTGCGAGAAACCTCCATCACCAAGCCAATGTGGTGCTCTGCAATCCCATTATGTTGTGGAGAGGCCGGAAGCGTGAACGTCTGGCGGATGCCGTGGTCTCGACAGAACTCCGCAAGGAGGCCAGAAGAGAACTCACCGCCCCTGTCAGAGTGCAGACGCAGGACTGGAAGATCCCGCAAAAACCGCTCGCGCAACTGGAGACAAGTAGCGCGGATCCAGGGGATCAAAACACTAGTGATGTCCACCTTGCTGCGCAAGGGGAAGACCGTGGTGTAGCGCGAGTAGTCCTCAACGACCAGCAGGAAGTAGCGCTCCTGGTCCGTCCCACTGACGCGGGCTGGGCCCCACACGTCCATGTGGAAAGTCTGCAGAGGAGCAGTGGTCGGAGGAAACTCGGAGGAATGAGGAGCGGCGCGCTGCCATCCCTCGACACAGGGAAGGCACGGCGGGGCAGTCGAGCTCGGGAGGGGGGGCAGTGACCTGGGAAGGGCAGAGACAAGGAGACGGGAGTGCATGTTGCGCAGACGAGGCAGAGAGGGGTGACCGAGTCGGTGGTGCCAGAGGAGAGTTTGGTGGGAAAGTACCCGACACGAGCAAGACGCTGCAAGCTGACCAGACGCAGACACTTGACTCGACGCAGCCACCTGACCTGACGCAGCCACCTGTGCAGACGTAATGGTCAAGGTGTACAGACTGGACCCAGGCTGCCAAGTGAACGTAGCAAGGTGACGTCCAGTCCGAGAGCACATACAGATCGCCACACGCTGCCCTCCAGGGATAAAGGTATCAACCCTAACATCCTGAAGGACTGCGTTGTTCACCAAGTTCGTCGAGAACGAGGGGAGGTGGAGGCCTGAAAGAGAGCCGGTGGGGACTGCCGGACACGGGAGGACAGTGGAGGCTCGCGCTACTACTGGGCCCCCAGTGGGGTCAGCCAGTGAGACTGGGACAGGTGTTGCGAGCGGTGTGACTGTGGTGCAATCACAAAAGAAGCAATGTGACGCTCCTGAGTCAAGTGTGAAAGTGTGCAAGGCCTCAGCTAAGGCAGGACCAGTGGCGGTATAAGCACTAACACCTAGAGCTGTAGCAGACTCACTAGCACCTAGAGTGGCAGCAGACTCACTAGCACCTAGAGCAGGAGCCTCTACACAACCAGGGACGCCTCGCTGAGAGACACAGTCGCGAAGCCGCTGCGGGGAGAAGATCTCTTGCTGACACTGCTGCCGCCGCTATCCAGTACCCATAAAACCATAACCTCCACCACCTGGACGGCCTCGCTGAATGATCCACTCACGAATCTGCTGTGGCGAGAGAGTGTCCGGGTGCGCGGGCTGCCGCTGCTGTCCAGCACCTCCAGCACGATAACCTCCACCACCAAGACGGCCTCGCTGAATAACCCACTCGCGAAGCTGTTGCTATGATAGATTGTCCGGGTGAGGCAGCAACTGCTGTTGTCCACCCCTAGACGCTGCTACGACCGTGACAGTGGCCATGACAGGCAGAGGCAGTCAGTAGCAGTGGCGCAAGGGTGGTAGTAGCGACTGCTGTAGCTGCAGCTGTAGTAGTAGCGGTGGTCGCTGTGGCTCTAACAGCAGGAGCGACTGTTGGAGTGGCTGTGGAGGCCAGTAGGGTGCGTGGGCAGCAGGGCACGGGCTAGCGCAGTAACAGCAGGAGTGGCAGCAGTAGCAGCAGTAGGCCAGCAGCTGCAGGGCAGGGCGGCGCGCGGGCCTAAGGGCAGGGCAGCGCGGCTCGTGGGCTGCAGGGCATAGCAGCGCGGCTCTAAGGGCAGGGCAGTGCGCGGGCCTAAGGGCAGGGCAGCACAGCGCGCGGGCTGCAAGGCAGGGCAGCGCGGCTCGCTGGCTGCAGGGCAGGGCAGCACGGCTCAGGTGGCAGCAGCAGCCTAGCAGCAGCAGCAGCAGCAGCTCAGCAGTAGCAGCAGCGCAGCCGGCAGCAGCAGCTCAGGCGGCAGCAGCAGCGCAGGCGGCAGCAGCAGCGCAGGTGGCAGCAGCAGCGCAGCAAGAGCAGCACAGGTGGCAGCAGGGGCTCGGCAGGGCATAGCGCAGCTGCAGTAGCGCATGTAGCAGCAACAGTAGCAGCAGTGCTTAGCAGCAGCAGCAGCGCATGCAGCAGCAGCAGTAGCAGCAGCAGCAGTAGCAGCAGCGCGCGTAGCAGCAGCAACAGCGCATGCAGCAGTAGCAGTTGCGTAAGTGACAGCAGCAGCAGCGCGCATCAGTGCGGACGGGCAGGGCGCAGGCAGGGTGCGTGTGAGTGCGGGTGGGGTGCGCATGGGCAGGGCGCAGGCCGGGCGCAGGCTGCTGGCGGGCAGCACGAGCGGGCAGGGGCGCAGTGGCGCTTGCGGGCAGGCAGAGCGCTCGCGGGCGGGCAATGCGCTAGGCAGCAGGCAGCGCGATTGCGGGCAGGGCAGGGCAGCGCGATTGCGGGTGGGGCAGGACAGCGCAAAAAACAGCGCATGCGGCAGGACTAAGGGCACTCGTGGGGCAAATCGAACAGTGCGCTCTCAGGGCAGCGCGCTACGGGCAGTTATAACCTAGCGTGGTGGGCCCAAGAACACTAGGAACGGAGTAGGAAGGTACCTAGACTCTGAAACCATGTTAGAAGTAGCGAGAAAGTGATGGTCAATTAGGTAAGGGAGGGGGGGGGGGGGGGGGGGGGTACAAGAGTGTCGAGAAAAGTGTTGTACCCTCTAAGGATAACCCCTACGTAGCCTAGAAATATAGAAAGCATATAATGTTTTGACAATCTCTAGAGCGTGAGCCTCTCCGACCATTGGTCGTTGCACCGCTACGTCAACTTGCTTCCCCGGCAGCACCACACTATCCTCCATTGTCACAACCCCCCCTAACGCCTTAGAGATCCTCGCCACCGCAAACTTTACCTCATCATGCACCAGAGATGGACCGTGCTGGTGCTTGCATCTCAGGGCATGGTGCGGGTCTGCTGGGTCAACATACGCTGTGCCACAAACACACCTCCCCGCCACCTGCAGCTGCTGAATTGGGAGCCCGAGCCGTATAGCAGCAGCAATGCCCCACTCAGCCGCAGTGAATGTGAGATCTGAGTGAGCCGGGACCGCCGAAACCCATGCACCAGCCCCCGGGCCCTGAAGGGATGTGAAACGGGCCAGAAATCAGGTTGTCAATGATACTGTAGCAGAACATGAAACATCACATCACGTTGGTTCTTTTATGAAGCCCAAAAAACACGTTTAAAAATCAAACAAATAGTTTGCTCTGGTGGGGATATTCAAGGTGTACTTGTTTTCACTTGTACCGAAATTGCGTCGCCTAGTATGGGGATGGATGCAGATCAGAGATCACACCCACGCGCACAATTTCCTGATCCATCATTTCGTAAATCTCCGGCTCGGCACCTTTAGACACCTTTACGATGTATTCCATCCAACCTGTTCGCGCCTGCAGATGACTACGTGAGACCATATGGCGTTTCCGCCTTAAGAGTTCCCGTGCTTTTTATTACCAGAAGTCCATGTTCCCTGGAAGGAAGCTAAGTCGCTCTCGTCTGACTGACGCCCATCATGCCGGAGCGTGGCGTGGCAGGAACCACGCGGATCGTCACATCTAGCCTACATACCTTCGCGATAATACTCTTCGTTACCGTGACATGCGCACGATGCGACGATCTGCTTAAAAGCTCCTCCATTTTGCAGCCACAATCGCCTGGAACTGCCGTTTCTAGAAATGTCGACGATAGGGCCCCACCTGCGCATGAATGGACAGGATCATGGCAGCGTGAAGTGAAAGCTGCATGGCAAGAGGCCAGACAGGGGAGAAGGCGAGCGGCGGCGGAAGTAGCGTTTGCGAGTACAGCCGTTGCAAGTCGTGCTCGGCCGGGAACAGACGACGAAGGAGGAGAATCTGGCACGGGAACGACTGGGTCCAACACAGCAACAACGGGATCCACGTCAGGAGCATCGGGATCCACGTCAGGACCAGTAGAATCCGGAAAAGAAAGACAGCACGGACGGAACACGGAAGGTGGTAACCCGAGGACGACTGCGGTCAGGAAGGACAGCTCAGCGGTTGGCGGCAGTGACATCGGCAGTGAAAGCGGTAGAGATAGCGCTTCTGCTGCCTCTGCTGATTTCACTGATACGTCGTCTGCTATGTCCCCCTCTCGTTCCCCCCTTTCCTCCTCTCCCTCCTCTCCTTCTCTCGCGTCACTCCTTTCGCAGCACCACCAGCACTTGCAGCAGTGGCAGCGGCACTTAGACCGAGCCGTTTTCACTCCGCTCTCTGACCCCACTCAACCGCTTGCCGTGATGAGTAAAATACTTAAGAATTCTCCGAAAGTTCCGCTGCTGGTGGCGGTGGATGGGCGCGTGCCAGACGCAGTGGCGGGAGGGGCGTGGGAGCAGGCGGGGGGAAGGATGGCGCGCGTGACGTGGCGGAAAGGAGGGGGGAGGGAAGCGGGGAGGAAGGGGGAGATGGAAGGGCGGGGAGGGGATCAGGGAGAGGTGGGGGATGGGGACAGGGGGGGTGCTAGCCAGGGGGAGGAGGAGAGCGTTGGAGCGGGGGAAGAGAGGAGGGTGGAAGGGGGAGGCGTGAGGAGACGTTTAGGAGTAGTGGAGAGACGGAAATGGAGGGTCGGTACAGTGAAGGAGGTGGGGACGAGTGAGGAAAGATCGATACAGCGGCACGTGCAGGAGCAGGAGGAGCAGCAGAACCAGCAGCAGCAACAACAGCAGCGGCAGCGACGGCGAGGGTTGTTGGAAGAGCGGCGATGGAGGGAGGGGGTGAAGGCGAGGGCTGTGTCATGCCTGGCGATGTTTCAGCAGCACGAGACGCTGCAGGGAAGACTGGCTCAAGGTGGGCCTGGATGGGCTGACGTGCCTGCTTGACACGCGTGCTGCATGCCTCCTTCATTGTTTTGAACCCCACCTTCCCTTCCCTTCCTTTCCCTTCCTTTCCCTTCCCTTCCCTTCCCTTCCCTTCCCTTCCCTTTCCTTCCGCCCTCTTCTTTTCCCCTTTCCTCTTAACTTTCACCTTCCCCACGGAAAGGCCTGCGTAAGGCAGCGGGAGGGAAGGTCCGTGGGGAATGCAGGGATAGATAAGGACTGATAAGGACTGATAAGGACTGTTTGTGGTGCGCGATTCTTCTGATGTGCAGCTTCTGTGGTTGACGTGGGATGGGATGCCGTGCATGTGTGTGGGGCACACCTCGTGGGCACGGCATCAACATGGTCTCCTAACCACTCTCTTTTTTCATGTGTTCTGATATGATCGGAACTGGCTGGTCTGATCTGGTCTGATCTGATTTGGTCTGATCTAATCTGATCTAGTCTGATCTAATCTGGTGTGGTCTGATTTGATTGTGGTCTGCTGCATTCATTCATTGTTCCAAACTAATTTCACAGTTTCCATTGTTCCATTTCTGCATGCATTCATAGTTCCATTCTGGTGCCATCCGTTCAAATTCCTCCGTCCCTTCGTCTCCTCACACTCGACTCCTGTCTCATTTCTCCTGACCTACTCTTACCTCCCCTTTCCCCCCTGGTGATCCCCTTCCCTGATGCAGCTCACCAGCAATACCAACAATCGCTGCTCCACCCATCCTCCACCCTCCACTCCTCCTCCTCGTCCTCCTCCTCGTCCTCCTCCTCCTCCTCCTCCTCCTCCTCCTCCTCCTCCTCCTCCTCCTCCTCCTCCTCCTCCTCCTCCTCCTCCTCCTCCTCCTCTGCCTCCACATCTTCCTCCACTCCGTCACTCGCCTCCCTTCCTGAGCACCCCTTGAAGGCTCTCATGGCTGCTACAAGAGCCGACCTGCAGCGGTTGCAGCAGCAGCTGCAGGGGCAGTGCAGAGTTGCTGCGAGGGACTTACGGCTGAGAATGGCCGAGTGGAGCAAGCTGGCGAGAGAGGCTGGATCTGGGAGCGAGGGACTGGGAGAGGGAGGCGTGGGAAGAGGGACTGGGGCTGGAGGAGGAGAAGAAGGAAGAGGGGCGGGGGGGGATGGGAGGCAAGAGGGAAGTAATGAGGGGCGTATGGAGGGAAGGAAAGGGGAGGGTAACGAGCAGGCAAGTAGTAGAAGCACGAGGTGGTGCAGCGGGCAGGAGACGGGCAGGGCAGCTCGCACCTGCACGGGGCTGAGATCTCCTTCCCCTCTCGCACGGCTCTCCCCCCACCTCTTCCCCTCCCCGCCCCCTGCCGTCTCCTTCCTCCTGCAGTACTTCCGCCAGCCTGGCATGATTGCTGACCTGCTCGCCCGCCCCCATAACTGCACCTGGGTTCCGAGGGCTGGGGGGACGGGGAAGGGGAGGAGAAAAAGGGAGGCGGGTGGAATTGGGGGTGATAGGAAGGGGGAGGCAGGGCGGCAAGGGGGAGCGGTGGAGGGAGGGAGTGTGAGGGTGGTGGAGATGCTAGTGCATGCGGATAGTCCTGAAGAGTGGAGGGAATGGAGGGAGTACTGGTGTGGAAGGAAGCCGCTGACCAACCCTGCTGACCCTGCTGCCTCTGCCGGTGCTGCTGGTGCTCTTGCCGCTGCCAGTGCAAAAAGAAACAGTACCACAAGAAGCAGCAGCAGCAGCAGCAGCAGCAGTGGCAGCGGCAGAAGCAGCAGCAGCAAGTGTCCCGGAAACCCATACTTCCACCTGCAGGTCACCTTCGATCACAACTCGCACGAGATCCGCGGCTTCAACACCCACGCCAAAACAGCCCGCGGTAACGTGGTAACCCTGTTACAGGACGACGACCTGCTGCCGTGGGACTGCAGCTGGCTGTGGGGCATCCTCCATGAGATGGACGCACGGCCGCTAGTCGCTGCAGTGGGCTACAGGACAGGGAAGATTGACGTGGATGGGAGTAACTGGGGTGCTCCCCTCACCTGGTACAGGTTCGGGGGATGGCTCTGGACCCACCCGTCCTACGACCCCCGAACCAGCCTACGGGGTTTTTTCGCGGGTGTGGTGGATTTTGCGCCGTTTGTGATGCGGCGGGATGTGTTTTTGGAATTAGGGGGGCTTGATGAGGGGCTGTCGGCGCGGGGTGAGTGCGGGATTATCACCGATTGGCATTTCACTTATCGGATCTGGTTTGCTGGTTACCAGGTAATGAATGTAGCGTGGGATCCTCCGGAGAGTGGGATTGGGAGGGGTGTGGAGGGCGGCACACATGTGGGCGTGAGATTGAGCCTACGGCACCTGCACTTTCTGATTAATGATGGGCAGATGAGAAGGCATCAGATAGAGGTGCTTAATGCATGGCAGCAGAGGGAGGTGAAGAGGGTGAATGTGATGTTCCGGACATTGGATGTGTGGGAGTGAGTGTGGTGGGAGGGGGTGGAGTTGGGAGGGAGGGGGGCTACGGTATATTATGGAATGTGCGGGTAAGCTGGATGGATTCTTCAATAGTCGATCTGAGTTAACTGTTACGTGATTGTTGGAGCAATAGGTGTTGGAGGAGGCAGTATCTCCATAGACACTGGTTATTGGACTTATTTTTTGGAGGCTGGTGTTGATATCCAATCCAACCCAACAAACCGACACGAGGGTGAGTAACTGGCGCTTGCTTGATGCTGCTTTGCAGGAACTGGTGTTCGTAATTTCTACGACATGTTGAGACCAGCCACCCGAAGCGCATGTACGAACATGCAAACGATTCAGATGGCTGGAGGGGCTGGTGTGTGCTGATTGGGCAATATAGGGTTGTCAGATAGGCGTCAATCTTTGCGAAGTAGTGAGCATGAATGTGACAATGTCGAGTGTGTCCGACGCTTTTTATTAGCTAGCAATCTGCGATCCCTCAATGCTCTGGCAGCAATGTTGGCGATGGTCATAAGAGCGACTCGACACTGCCCATTCCGGCATGTCAGATTGAGGAAATGTTGCGCGCCGGCAATGTTGGCTTTCAGACGATCTCTTGCTGGGAAATGCTTCATATCCATTTATCAACATAAAATGGCTTTTTTTTAGTTGACGGATCAGGACTATGGAGTTTCCCTAAGCGCTTCGTCGATTGACACGTTTTTTTGACCTGACAAATAACTGTGTGTGAAATCGTGCGATCATATCTCACGACTAAGCGATGCATGCGAACGACCACTGGCCAATCCAACTTCGCATACCAGTTCCGCAGCACTACTACTAGTTATAGTAGCGTGACATTACTTTTGGGACCGTTCCTTTCTAAGGACAACGCAGCTCAGCTGAGAATAGACCTCACTTCCCCAGGCGCCGTATACTTCGCAAGGCGTTACAGTGACGTCGAACCGACGTTACGCAAACAGGGAACCTATTTTCCCGACGCCACGACTACTTGGCTCCAATTAGGAGTTTAATGTATTTATTTATCTATCGAACACAGCCGTGTGATAGCCAGGCCCGCAATGGATAGTAGACGCCCCGACATCGTTAATTCCGCGCATTTCCTCTGCCGATCACCATGCGCAGTTGTGCGCAGTTTCCGCGCTCTGGCGCTGCTCACACTGCTCGCCGCCGCCATGAAACAGCCACTAAGCTGTTTGGGCAGAGTAGTAGTAGTAGTAGGAAGTGCTCTTAGGAGAATTTCAGGATGACAGTAGTAAGATAGCTTTACAAGAGATCATATGATGGCTTACATTTCAGAGATACATCCTAATATACTAGGATACTAGCAAGGGCGCCTCGAGCAGGTCGCTCAGGTCGCCTATCATCTTCCTAGAGCTAAGGACAGCAAGGCATAGTCATTATGATTATGTACAAGACATACTAGCCTTGTTGTCATATCCTAGAACCAATAAGCATAGCCTAGGAATTCACTAAGGTAATGAGCAGAGATTATTTGTCTTGTTGTCGTCCATGGTGTCGTTGATAATGATGACCACGAGCTCTGTTGGAAGTAGCCATGGCTGTAGGAAAGTATGCTTGCTTGTGCTGTCAAATACTTTGCTGCGCTGTTGGAGTTCTCTGCCCTGTTGTGTCCAGCACTAGTAGTATGCTCTCTGGAGTTGTTCCCACGGTTGGAAACTCAGAATTACGAGCCGCACAATTCAATGTTGGATTCCAACATTGAATTCCCAAAATGTACTTAGGGTGTGTTCCGAATTCTGGTTCGGATCACAAGGAGCTGAGTTGGCGAAATCGAGGATGACGAGATCGCCTTCGTCTTGTTACACGCCACCTGCCCCCGCGCGGCATCTGCTGGCCCCGCTCACCCTGATCAGGGTGAATACACCGAGGGTGGAAATCGAGCCTGCTGGTTGCGCGGGCGGGTGCTGCTGCGGCAGATAGCGGAATCGCAGCTTCAACAGGTGCCGCGTCAACGACCCACACCCCTTTCCCGCCTGCATGTCCGCGTGCCGCCACTTCCCCCTTGCCCCTTGCGTTGCCCCTTTCCCTACCCTTGCCCCTTGCTCCGTTCCCCTTGTCCTGCCGATTCTTTTGTGCCCCTTGCGCCCCTGGGCCCCCTCGCCCCTTGGCTTCGCCCCCTTGTCCCCCTCGCCCCTTCGCCCTTTCTCCCCTTCCCCCCCTCGCCCCTTTCCCACCTGCATGTCCGTGTGCCGCCACTTCCCCCTTGCCCCTTGCGTTGCCCCTTTCCCTACCCTTGCCCCTTGCTCCGTTCCCCTTGTTCTGCCCATTCTTTTGTGCCCCTTGTGCCCCTGGGCCCCCTCGCCCCTTGGCTTCGCCCCCTTGTCCCCCTCGCCCCTTCGCCCTTTCTCCCCTTCCCCCCCTCGCCCCTTCGCCCCCTTCGCCCCTTCCCTCCCTCGCCCCTTCGCCCCTTCGCCCCTTCCCCCTTTCGCCCCTTCCCCCCCTCCCCTCTTCGCCCCTATACCCCCCCTGCCCCTTCGTCCCATTCCCCCCACTCCCTTTCGCCCCTTCCACCCCTCGCCCCTTTGCCCCTTCGCCCCTTCCCTCCCTCCGCCCCTTTGCCCCTTTGCCCCATCCACCCCTCGCCCCTTCGCCCTTTCTCTCCTTCTCCCCTTCGCCCCTTCCCCCCCTCGCCTCTTCCCCCCCTCGCCCCTTCGCCACTTCCCCCCTTCGCCCCTTTCCCCTCTCGCCCCTTGCCCACCCAGCGAGGAAGCCAATCAAGGCAAGGCCTCCCCTGCATGATTGAAGAAGTCTTTTGAGACGTCTCAAAACACTTCTTCAATCACGTGGCTATTCTTCTGGTTCCTGTAGATTTTTGTTGGCGTGGAATTTACCTTCCCGCTTACGTCAAAGATTGATTCAATCGAGGATGCGACCTGTTGCAGCGAACCCTTCGCGCGACACAAGTGGTTACCCCACTTCTTCGACCCCGGTTTCCAACCACCCCGAGGATTCCAATCTTGGTTCCTAGGGATTGGGCTGAAGCTGTCTGCTCCCCTCGACGCCTCTCTTCACATTCGCCTATCATTTCCGTCATGTCCTGGTTAGCCTAGCTTGATCGTAGAGTACTTAAGCCAGTTTGTACAAATTTTTAGCTTCAGTTTCAGACTTGTACTGATGAAGGCTTGCAAAAGCCGAAACTAGTTTGCAATGTCCCTGATCATTTAGTGAAGATTTGTTTTAAACTGGCTCTCTCAACAACGTTCTAAGCTAAGCACACACAAGGCTCCTTCCGCCATTTCTCATGGAGTTTGTTTCGTTGTCCTAAAACAACACGAGTTGATGGAAGTAAGGCCTCTGCAGCCCACCTGTTCTCTTTTGACAGCCCCTCGCCCCTTGCCCACCCAGCGAGGCAGCCAATCGAGGCAAGGCCTCCCCTGCAGTTCCTCGTCAGTGGCCTCTGCCGCATGTCTCCGCGCATGCCAAGTACGGCTTCCCTGCGCCTCTGCCGCATGCCTTTGCGGCTCTGCCCCATGCCTTTGCGGCTCTGCCCCATGCCTTTGCGGCTCTGCCCCATGCCTTTGCGGCTCTGCCCCATGCCTTTACGCCTCTGCCGCATGCCTTTGCGGCTCTGCCTCATGCCTTTACGCCTCTGCCCCATGCCTTTGCGCCTCTGCCCCATGCCTTTGCGCCTCCGCCTCATGCCTTGGCGGCTCTGCCCCATGCCTTTGAGCCTCCACCTCATGCCTTTACACCTCTGCCCCATGCCTTTGCGCCTCTGCCCCATGCCTTTGCGCCTCCGCCTCATGCCTTTGCGGCTCTGCCCCATGCCTTTGCGCCTCTGCCTCATGCCTTTGCGGCTCTGCCGCATGCCTTTGCGCCTCTGCCTCATGCCTTTGCGCCTCTGCCGCATGCCTTTGCGCCTCTGCCACATGCCTTTGCGCCTCTGCCTCATGCCTTTGCGCATGTCGTTGGCTCCCCCACCTCCCCCCCACTCCCCTCCTCGCGCGCAGGTGCGCGTATCGCTGGCGGGCGGCGGGCGAGTGCTGGTGTGGTGGGTGACAGCTGGCAACACAGCAGCCACAGTGGAGTATGGGGAGAGCCGCGGCAAGTACACCAAGGTGGCTTCCGGGAGTGTGACTGGTTATCGGTTCAATGGATACACGTACGAGTGCTTTGTTCTTCCCCGTATCTCTTTCACTCCTCGCTTCCGTCCCGCCTCGCCTTGCATGCCGCATCCAATGCCCATGGCTGCGTTGCAATTGCTACATTATCCATGCCTGTTTCCACGTCATACATTTCCGGTGTCACGTCATCCACACCCTGTTGCCACGTCATCCTTGCTCTGTGCCACGTCATCCCTGCCCTGCCGGCCGCAACCAGGTCGGGGTACATCCACAAGGTGCTGCTGGGGCGACGATTCGAGGATGGTGTCTTAAAGCCCGGCACCACCTACTTCTACCGCCTGGGAGGCACGGGGCCCGAGTTTGCCTTCAAGACACCACCGCTGCCAGGCAATCCAATCGATGTCGCCCTCATGGGCGGGTGTGTCGCACTGACTTTGGCTGTGTTGTGGCATGGGAGGCACGGGCCCCGAGTTTGCCTTCAAGACGCCGCCGCTGCCGTCCCAGCCCATTGATGTGGCGCTCGTGGGTGCGTCGCACTATGTTTGG